TGCAGCCTACCTGAATATTACAGCCGTGTGACGCAGCTAAAGCAAGCCCCCCCCCCCCCCCGTCCGCCATCCGCCGCCTCACTAAACATGTACACTATTATCTTACACCCTGCAACTGGGAGAACTGGTTCTGTCTGTGCCGGCTGGCATAATCAGCACCGTGGGCTGCGGCAGGGCCCAGTGTCACCATCACTTCAGGGAGCCTCGGCCACGTCTGACACCCCCTCACTCCCCCCATGCACCGACGGGTTACCTGCAGGGGGTTACGGATATGGGCAAAACCAAAAATAGGACGGAATTATATGAAATGGGAGGAGAGGACTGACAACTCCCACACCATAAAACACACCGACATGAAATCGCCCTCCACTGCCTGCCTGACGTCATTTTTATAACTGCTATGAGTAATAATAATAACAATAATAATAATTAATATTCCAAGTCGTCAATGTAATATTTCTAGTAGAATGTTAAAATGCTCAAATGATCTGTTCTGATCTAGCTGGTATTAACATTTACCCAACAGCTGTTACGTTAAAAAAAAAAAAGCATTCTGCATAATATATAATATAAACTGGATATTATATGGGGGGGGGGGGGAGAAGAAAATCTATTAAAAGTGAGTAAGAAAACAGACAGGAGAAGGTCTCGGGGGGGTTGGGGGGATAGCCGAGGGCCCAGCCCCTGCCAGCGTGCCGAGGGAGGCTCTGAGTGACACGCTGGGGCTCCCGTCCTGCCTGTACCTGCACCCGGCCCAGAGAGGGCTCCCTCTGGCTGGGGAAAGGGCCCGACCGGGTGACCAGCCGCTAGGGGTGCGGAGAGACCGGGAACAGAGTGTGAGGGAGAGACCTGGGGGGGTGGGGGGGTGAGAAAGGCACTAGCAGCATCGCTGGGAGGGGAAATAACACGAGACAGCCGCCACGCCAGAGTCAGCCACCGCAGCCAGCCCGTCGCATTACCTGCGACGGCCGAGGAAGCCTTTATCTCACGTGCGCGGCCAGCTGCCGTTTTCGGTAAGTAATGCAGACGGCAAACGTGATTCTAAAGAACACAATAAATGCCATACATAGGTCACCACAGCAATCTATGGCAAGGAAAAAAAATCATAATTGCATGCAGCATGGACTCCTCCATTAGCCAGCAACTATTACTGCACAATTAATTATTAAAATCATTACCCTAACATAGCCTCCCCTTTATACCTATATGGACACTAATTGTTATTTACTCTGTTGTTTATATAGTGTGCATCCTCTCTTTGCTCATATAACTTTAAATCATATTTCTGTCTAACCAATATTCTCTGACAAAGAATGAAAAACGAAAGTCACGCACGCGCGCACACACACACACGCCTGCGTGCAAAATACATGTGAATAAAATCATCTGGGCACACCGCTTTAAAACACAAAAGATGTTCACACATTTAGAAATTTGAAATAACATTTATGGCAAAATAAAAACACCTACATCCAGATTTTCATTCTCTCTCTTTCTTTTTTAATTTACACAGCAGAATTAAACTATAAATCCTCAGTCATTGTCATTAATTTTCTGATGAATCTAATTTTGATTTTTTATCCTCCTTTATAACATTATGTAAATTAAGAATAATCCACAACATATATTGCATTTTCAAAATACTGATTGGATTTAAGGCATAACCTTAATCATTACTAATAACTTAAAAAATTAATGTAATATTTAGTGATATTCAGTTTAACAAATAAGTTTCACAATACACTCCACTACACCTCTTAAAACTAAAACATACTAAAAAAATATTTCATAAATATTACTGCATTACTGTAATATTACAATGCAAGTTGTGCATTGGTGTCTTGCTTAAAACATAATACTGAACTAACAATTAAATGATCAAGTAGAAATGTATTCTCTAAAGGTAATTTGTTTATATAAAAAAAAAACTAACTCAAATCAGAACACCCCTCCCAATAATGGAAAAAATGTTTAAAAAAAAAAAAAAACAAACCAAAAAAAAAAAAAAAACAGAATTTAAACAAACACCCTCAAGTTTATTCAGTTGCAGAATAAAAAAGGAAGAACATTTACATGCACCTACCACTAATAAAGATGCAAACGTAAACACACACACACACACACACTTTTGTTCTTCCAGTAATCATTAAATAAAAGCTTTGTCCCCCACAAAAATGTTCCTTAATACAGGCCAAAGAAATACAAAGGGTTTCGTTAAAAAAAATAAATTAAAAAAAAGTTCCATTCGGGTGAGGTAAATAATAATCCAATTTTACAATTATATTTTTTTTCCCTTTTACTGTCAGCCAAGAAGCTCAGGACAGTCGGTAATTACGGGGTTTCCAGGAAGCGGCAGAGGTGGAACCCAACATCTGTCTGCTCTTTGTTTCCGAGGTGCGGAGACCGCGGGCGCCCTGGCACGACACCCACATCACTGCCACGTCCCTTTTCCTCCCGCGTGACACCCGCTATCATTACCGGTACGGACGCTGCGCCCAGGCATCCGAAAGCTGGACTCTGACTTTCACCCCCCCCCCCCCATCCTTCCATAAAAAAATGAGTAAAGGAAAAAAAAGAAGGAAAAGAGGGACCTTCTCTGGGCAAGAGAGACTTTACTGTCCCTCCTGTCTGACCTCTCCAAACAAATGCCTGTTTATTCTTAAAGCCCCACAGCTGCAGAACAGTAGAAGATATCTGTCTTCTACTCTTCTTATTTCATGAGGTTTTATAGATTTTTTTTTTTAATCATCATTTCTTCCTCGCGGACCGATTCTGGCGGCCTTTGGGGTCCTGCTTCAAACCCTTGAAGTTGTAATCAGGAAGGAAGGCTGCGTTTCGGGATCGGCCGTGTTTTGCTAACCCCCCCCCCCTCCCTGGCCCCCACCCCACCCCACAGCTCATGGCCAGCTGACCTCTCCTACACCCCTCACTTACCCCATGTTATCGTTCCTTCCTCACTAACAGGGCTTCCTCACCAAGCTCTCCCATGCCGACGAGCCCTGAGAAATACTTACACTGCCTCCCCTTTTGTTGTGCAACTGGGGGTCTCACTCTTTCTTTCTTTTTTTTAATTATTCACTGGTTGACCCCCACAAGATCACTGCTCTCCATGGTGTGACCCCTTGACAACCCTCCCCCCCCCCCAGCTGTTAATGGAGGGTTTTCCTCCTCTCCCTTTTTATCGCTCTCACACTCACTGGGTGACCCCTGCTCTCCTGCTCCTCACTGTCTGACCCACAGTCTCTCAGCCTCCCGCACTCTCATTCCTCCAAGACACAGCCACCCTCGATCAGCTCTCCGAACCTCTCTCCTCTCCAGTCTCCCTCGCTCTGGCTACCTCTCCTTTTCTCCCACTCTCATCCCGTCTGTCATCGGTGTCTCCGTGTTACTCCGGAGCTCGGGCGGTACACGGCCACCACTTTCGGGGGGCTCTGGGATGCTGGGGTGGGAGCGGTTTCCAGTCTGCATGCCTGTCGGCTTGTATCTTAGAGAAGCTGCACTCCCATCCCAGCCTCGTCAGTCTAGTCCTTCCTTTCTCTGCCTCCCTCTATCCGATAACAGCTCTGCCGCTCACCTTACTTTCTTCACAAGGCCTCTCTTTTTTTTTTTTTTTTTGCATTTTTCCCTCTTTTCCAACAAATCTGTTTTCTCGGTTTACTCTTGACTCCAGCAGCTAAACTTTCATTCTAGACGTGCCAAACAGTACTCTCAAAATATTTAAACTCATTAATTTTATTATAGTAATCATAATATTCACTAAAACAATCTAGAAATTTGGGTCAAAGCGCTGTCAGTATTTATGCGTATTCAAAGCAGCAATAACTGATGCGTGTATTTTTTGCAATAAGAAAGGTTTGCTCTATTTTTGTAATAATTGCATATAAGAAATCTATTGTCTGGTTCCTGTTTTTTCCGTCTATGAAAATTACATTTTGACTGCCGCCTCGTCCGGTCTTTTTTCTGCGCCTTTTTGCTATTGTCTCTTCGCCGACCCCGGCGCTCCGGCTCCGCGCCGGCACTCGGCGTCGAGCTTTGCCGCGTACGGAGCTTCGCCGATCCGCTCTTGGCATGAAGGAGACCCGGAGCTCCGTTTTTAAAGCCCCCGCACTGACAACACGCACAGACACACACACTCTCGCACACACACACTCATACACACACGCAGGCACACACACACACCCCGATCGATTTACATGTGACTCCGACAGGGGCATCGGCGAGAATCGACTTTAACAACGCCTCACAATAATCCAACGGGAATAAAAAAATAAAATTGGGGGGAAAGGAAAAATGGACAAAGTGGAAAGGGGGGGAGAAAAGTACGGCAAGAGAAACAAAATGAAAAAACGGGGCGGAAAGAAGTAACGAAGGACCCGAATAAATGTAATAATCGTTAAACGCAGCGGATGTGATCAAAAAAACTGGGATTATGTCGAAAAATAGAAGAAAAGGAAAGCGGACACCGAAGTCGGTTTTATTTTTCTGAAAGTACGGAAGAATAGACGGCGTGCTCCCACTCGCCGGACGCAGACGGACCAGCAAGCTGGACTAAAGCGCTCCTTTCCTGGCTGCGGGCATGTGCAGCTCCCGCTACCCTCCGACCAGCTCTCACTTTCGCGATCGTCCATAGCACGCAATATCTCCAACTATTAACATTTTCCCATTTCGACAAAAAGCGCACATTTCTTTGAAAAATCCCGTGATTTGCCGTGCGCCGCTTTTAAAGGGAATCGCTGTCTTTGCCCGTTTTCTTTTCTTCCAGTCATGAGGACATGCGAGGACGAAGCCAGATGTAAACACAGGTAAACGAGACGGACAGAGAATAAATAAAACAACTTGCATGAAAATAACTTCGCAATCGACTGTTATTTCTCCCGACAAGGCAATAGCGAACCCGCAGAATTAGTAGAAAAATACAGAAAACCTTTAGTTAGTGTAAAAACTGAAGGAAAAACGAATCGGAGATAGAGACAGAGAGAAAAGCCAAAGTTGAAACTTACAATTTTTTTGCAGCCGCTTTGTGATCCTCGCTTTTTAATCCAGAATAGAAACGGTTTGGCTAAAGATCCCATCAAGGCAGTCCCTTTTGGTCAGTTTGCATTTAGGATGGCAAAAGAAAGATCATTGTTGTTGCGGAGTGTAAAAAACGAAGTATTAGTTCTAAAGGGTATATAAAAATAATTTGGATGCTAAGCAGGCGATGTGTCTTGTGTTAGAGGGAGAGAGGAAGAGGTGAAAGTGAGATCTGATGATTGAAAAGAAAAAAACTCTTTGGATCTTTATTCCTGCTAATTAGTTTCCTGCAAAAAATGGCTGTGATTAATTCAGTGCGCATGTGCTTCATTACACAGGCACGACGGGAAGGGCTAATTAGCCACCTTCTGGATCAATAAGATTCAGCAAAGGAGAGAGCGAGGGAGGGAGAGAGAGAGGGAGGGAGGGAGAAAGAGAAGGAAGGAAGGAGGGAGGGAGGAATGGATAGATAGATAGAAGAAGAAAAAGAGGAAAGTGATGATCAGGGATTAAATAAAAATAGGGAATTAAGAGCAACAGGAAACAAAATAATAGTTTGATCAAAAATAAAACAGCGAAAGTTGATGAAGTGTACGGGAATGGCATAGCCAGGGTGAAAAACAAGACCGTTTTCTGTTTTTTTTCCTTTTTTAAGTTTTAGATATACATAAAATACTTTATAAATATTTTTCGGAATATCTATGTATTACTTTTAACAAACTTTGCCAGGAACGAGTTGGTGCAATAATACGACACCACACATTCTACAGGAGTCCGTGACTTTTCTACCATCATCTAAAACAGCCCGGTGTTTCTAACCTTTTATTTTTATTTTGGGTTGCGGCAGATAACAGGGAAATTATTGCTATGTCGTTATGAATTAACACGAAAATGTTATATACGGTGGTAAATAGTCAACATTTAAAATGACACGGATATCCACTTTTACATAAGCAGATTGAGGTGCATTTCGGCTGTAGTTATCTTTACAGTGCAGAAGTTTGAGTATGCCCGCGCTCACTGTCTATAAAACCTTTAATGACATGCGAAGCAAAAGCATATTGATTTACCAACAGTATACAGACTGTAAATCATTTATGCCGGCTTATTTAAGCACTGAATTTTAGGGTATGTTTAGCACTTGCTTTTATGCAATGAAACCAGAACAATTTGCGGTAGAAAACATGACTTTTAAAGGGAAACGCGGCGGTGCTCATAAGTTAGCAATGTTAATAAAAGTGCTTGAATATATGACACCGGGCTGTTTAGAAAACAGGCAAGTGTAGGCTATTTACTGAAAACAAGCGTCAAATACATATATAAACAGATATTCTTATACGTGATACACTTGCTTAAAATCTAAACTAAATCAGAAATATTACTTTTTTTTCCCAAATTTTTGAAATTGGAAATAAATGCGCGATCTGAGATTACAGTTCTTTAATACACTGATATTTAATACGAGAAAATACGCTGGTCACTGTAACTACAACGCGAGGTTAAAGAAAGCACTTTCTGAGAGTGATATACAATTACAGACAGACAACTGTGTAAAAGCATTTGATGCAGCATTTTAATAAAAATGCAGTACAATTTGAAGGATCTTGTTACACTGTAAGTGCGAACGAGTGCGGTTAAAGGAATTGCATTCTTTATTGTGATAGTCAGGGGACTAGACAACTAAGAGTAATCACCAAAACTTCCCGTTGTGTGTTCGTGGTTGCTTTTTTGAAAATTTCTATTTTTGATGAGCGACGGATCAGCCGAATTACTTATGCTCTATATATTTATTCGTTTAGACACTGATTTGAGCGTATATATACACACACATACATATATATATATATATATACACACACACGCGCGCGCGCGCGTAGACACACACTTGCCGTACTGCTGTACAGCGTGTCATATGTATATTTCCTTTCCAAACACTTAATAATGACGATAAATGACAATCGTTTCCGGATTTGCAAATTTACGCAACTTATGCGCGTTTAGGAATGATATATGACGCGTCAGAAGTATATAAATGTAAGAATAACCAGCCGCATGTTATCTTATCACATGCAATTTAAATATGCAATCTACAGCACTCCCCGAGCCCATTAAATATGTACCAATACTAATTTCTATTCACAAACAGATAATTCTGTTCAATATTATAGCCTCTGACTTCTAACTGACTTGCACTCCATCAATGTAACATCCACTGGCTTATTGGTTCAAAACCTTGTTATGTTTATGCTCGAAAGTTTATTTCCGAATTAGAACACGTGTCTTTTCTGCCAAATACATAACATAATGTTCATATATTAATATATATAGCTGATTCCTTGATCCGGTGTCATGTTATACATACGTGGTACTTTTTTAAAGTGCTGGATCTCACGATTTGTTTAGGGTGGCAAAATATATAACAGAAATATGTATCCACTCTGAAATGCAATATAAACATTACAGTACTTCATTAAAAGTTATGCCTTTCTCATTTTACGTATACCTGATAACAGGAGTAACTTTGAAACGCCTGCGTTGAAAGAGGTGACGTTTCATCAATAGTTACAACTGTAGTATAGATCCGTGAAGCCTTCTACAGGTTCCCTCACCATCACCACAAACATTTCGCTTTTTTTTTCCAAGCAACCGTTTACAAAGCATTTTTTCCCCAAAAGGATACGACTGTATACCAGTTGGTAACTGTTCCAGTATCCTTTGTCATGATAATTCCATTGCTGATTCCGTATAATGAAATGAACAATACTTGTTACTCGATATAGTTACTTTCTCCGCTAACAACTCTTAGGGATTTTAATCCTCACAAATGAAATTAACATCCTAATGTTCATTAATTATATGGTTTTCCCATTCGAATATTATATAACTTAAAAACGAGGTAAAAATTGTTTTAAGATAATTTTATGCCTGCAACCCGAACTCACGAAATCGAAAATCTGCGATATATTTCCACAATTAATTTTTTGTTCACCCAGAACATATGTAATACTGTTTTGCCGTATTCGGATTTTTGTGCTTCCTTAAAATACAAAATGATAATAAAACCGCATTTGCAAGCGACTCCGGATGTATATATGAAATACTAATATCATTCACACAAGAATGTTAAAATGATCAAAGAGATACGTTTTATTGTGCTTTTAGAAAACTCATATCTGACGTTTTGTCTGATTTTTAAGTGCTGTAAGTACAGAACATTTTAACCATGCACACATATTATGTAGCAGGCTACTGATTACATTGCCATTTCAAAATAAATGAAATGTATAAAATTATAAGATAATAACATGTATGATATACGGTTCTGGGAACCTTCCCATGCACGTGTCCTTGGCCTGTGATGGGAACTGATAATGATGATCGAGACTTAGGGATTTTCTCAGGGGGGTTTAAGAAGAAAAAAATGTAAACCAAATTGTATCAAATATCCGCGAAAACAGCACCGTGCGTTCTACAAAACACACATGCTACATTGTAATTTTTCAACAAGGGAGGACAATTGAAGCGAACAGTATATTTTAAGCAAAAGGGCCTACAGCCAGTACGTATATATGTATTTTGTATACATGTATATATGCATGTGGGGGGTCGTGTGTGCATTATTCTCACATATTTCGCAGGAATATGCAGATATCTAGGCTTATTGGTGAAAACCAGTGACGTCAGTTCTTTACCATAACAAAAGACACGTAGTGTAGTGGCCAAGGGTTACATACATCGTTTTAATAATCATGCCTGACAACTGATCATGAATGCACACACACACGCGCCCATATTTGTATCTATATATATACATGCTGCACCCACGTACACATTGTGACAGATGCAAATCTTCAACAGGAGACCGTGCACAATTTGTGCTGTGAAAGGTATACAGAGGGATCTGAGGGTTTGCGATGTGTCCATTCTCTTGGGAAGGGAAGATTGTAAAAATGAATGGGTAGAAAATAGAGTGTAAGTGGACTTGGAGGGCCAGGGAGATAATAAAGAGAGCCGCGTGACTGGGGCACGTGGAAGAAGACTGTCTTGGTGTTTTATTCCAGCCCGAGTTTCACCTTACTTACTTATGAATGAGCAGCCGTTTTTACAGTCGAGACCAACAATTCATATCCCTTTAATTAAAGACAAGTGACTAAGATAGCAAGAGAATGTGGATCCATATAAGGTATTCGAACAAGACAAACGCAGAAAATCGTTTGCCGTGTTACAATCTGCTTTGCTGTCTCAAACTGGACGTATCTTAAAACAACAGTGAAGCAGTTGTCCAAGACATGCGTAGTGTAGAAAATTCACCATCTTAAAGATGGCATGCAGTTGTTGCGCGACATTAAGATGTGGTCCAGGCGTACAGCACGAATATTACCATTTGGGCCCGAAGGGAGCTCTTTTCTCTAACCATCAGTAAGCCCTGAAAAAAATTACGAACGCGTGCAGTGTCAATCTAGCAAGGTGTTTTAGGAAAACAGTGCAGTTTCTTTCATTTGGTTTTTAAGCATTTCGTTCATAGAGGTGTTATAAGGATGTTACATGCAAATATCACATAATATCATATATATTATGAGAAATTACTTGGCTAATTTATTTTAAAAATGAATGAATTTAAAAATGGTTTGGAAATGAGTGTGTACGTGGTAGAATAGTGAGCGGGGGGGGGGGGGGGGATTTATTTTGCCTTTACCTCGTGCACTGCGCGTGCCATCCCGCAATAATAGCGTACAAAGGCGAACACCGAGGAAATGAGAAGGGGATGAAAGCATTTAAAGATAAAAGAAGCCCTTACTATTGTCTTGCCACTTTATAAAACGATGACGATCAATTTAGGTCGGAGGATTTAGGGATTTCGTTACATTTTTTCACGATATAGTACTTTCACGTTTCACGCAAGTTCACGTTTGCTACTTTTAAAGAGGCAAGAAACTGGCGGAAATTGTTTCAAAACCAAGTGTCCTAACTTCACTCTTTTTTTCGTAACAAAGTAATCTCTTAATATGCGCAATTGTAACGGTACACGTACGTCGATATTTAATCCATATAAACAGGTGTCAAACTCCAGGCAGCCTGTTCATTAAGAAACTAATTAATTCACACCTCGGAGTGATGGCATCTTTTTAAATATACTGCGGCTGGCAATATGAGGACACTGTATGTAAAGTATTCCATGACAATTCCCGGGTTCATAAGTGAGACTTTTGAATGCCTGGGATTAACAGACGGAGATGAACTACTGTCCAGCCTTTTGCAGGAGGAGCGAAGGGCAGAACAGCGGGCTCCCGTCTCACCAGGTGCAATGGTAGCGCCCTCTTATGTTCAGTCCGACCACGGGGATCAACAAGCGTGTCAACCTGACTTACTTGCAACCCCACATCCTTCTGCCTTTTTCTG